CCCAGAGCTCTGAGCTCAGCTCTGCCCTCTCACCAACAGCCGCTCAGTCTCCCTGAGCACATGCCCTCAGCCATGAGTGAGGGCAAGAGAGAGAAAGCATGGAGAAGGCAGCTTGAGAGGGTGTCTCTACCACTGTCCCATTCCCCTCCTGCACCCCGTGGGAGCCCTCTCTCACGGCCCCTCTCCTCCAGCCCTGCAAGAGCTCAGTCCTTTTCTCACGTGGCCTGTGGGCAGCACACCTCAGTGGGGCAAGCTCTTCCCTTGGCTTCCAGGAGACCCTCCTGGGCCTTCCCACACCTCATCAGTCTCTCAGCTCCCAAAGGGAACCCTGGGGCCTGTCCCCAGCCTAGCGCCTTCATTTCTCAGTGATCTCACTCAGTCTCAGTGTCTAAACTTCATCCACACTCCCAGAATTCTTTCTCTCTGAGGCATTTAAATAGCAGCTTCCCTGTCATCTCTCTTGGGAGCATAAAGACCCCTGACCCACCGGTCCAAGGGGGAGCCCCTGTTCTTCCTCCCAACCTGCCCCTCCTTCAGCCTTCCTCTCCACCTCAGTTAATGACAACCCCATCCTTAAGTGGCTGAGGCCAAACACACTGGAGTCAACTTTGATTCCTCTCTCCCTCACACCCAATCTATCAGCAAGTCCTGTTGGAGCTGTCTTGAAGATACATGCAGAATCTGACTCTTTCTTAGGACTTTCTCCGTCGCCCTCTGCCTGGATTCCCGGTCTCCTGGACCTGCTCTTGTTCTGTCTCAAGTCTCTAGGGCTCCGGCTAGAACTTCAGTTCCATCTCACCATCCTGCTGCTGGAAACAGCCAGTGGCCTCCCCTGGTGGGGTCTGGCAGCCCTGCCCTCTGACCTCTTCTCCTATGACCCCTTCTGCTTCACTCTCATCCTGTCACAAGGGCCTCCTCACATCCCTTCATTCCACCTTCCCACTCACTGCACCCAGGACCTCAGCCCCTCCCACAGCTTGCTCCTCACCTCCTTCAACTGTGCATGAGTGGCCTCCTCTCAAGGAGCCCCCCACCATTGTATGCAAAATACTGGCCCTCCCATCCTCTGCTTTATTTTCTCCACAGCACTTGATACCCTTCATCATCCTGCCATTTATTTATATTGTGTGTTTTAGGGCTATTTGCTAGTTTGTTCCTAGAGCCCAAGAGTGTCTGGTGATCACAGGCATTCAGTAAGCACCAGCCGAATGAATAGATGTTAATGGTCTTGGTTTTAGTCTTGGCTTAGGTGCATTTATAAATGTGCCGTTATTTTCATTTTAGTTATTGGAAGGGGAGAAGAAAACAGTTAAATGTGAAGTCAAGAGAGGCCCAAGACCCTCAGACATCTTAGACAGCAGTCGGCTGGCCTCTCCCTGCCCCCCACTTCCCTAGGATCTTCATTCTCTCCCCTATCTGAGCACAGCAAGAACCTAACAGCCACCTTCAGGCCAGAGCCCCTCTCCTATACCCTGGCACCCAGGCTCTCTGTGCCTAGCACTGAGCCAGCCCTCTGATGACTTAAGAGGTTCCCAATGAGAGCTGGGGAGGCTCCCCATCTAAGAGAAACCAGAGTGGAGGCAGCTGATCCTGTTTAGTACCCCCATCGGGAAGGGCACCCTGGGCTGGGCAGCCTTCTAGAAAGGTGAGCCTGGCTACACACCAAGCAGAGAAAGACATTCCCAAGCTTTAGTGGGTAGATATGGCAGAGAGGTGTGGGTTCCCCGGGTGGAAGCCAGTATCAGCGAGTCAGGAAGCTGGTCAGGAGGGCAGGGCACAGGGCACAGGGCCAGGCTGGCTGCGGTGGGAGACAGGATATGAGAGGAGGCAGGCATGATGGTGCCCTGCACTGCAGCAGGAAGCTGGCTGACCCTGAGAAGGACAATCCCAGAGGAGGCTAGGGGACCAGGAGGCAGCGGTGAAGAATGAGAGAAGCCTTAGTCGATAGCCCCTGCCCTGTCCTCTCCCAGGTAAGTCCATGTGAGCATCAGCAGAGCCTCAGGTTGTGAGGCCTTGCAAGGCCCCCTCTGATTACTAAGGATGGGGACTGGTCCTCAAGCCTGGATGCATATTGGCTTCAAAAGCCCCCTGTTCCCCACTGAAGAGGCACTTAAAGTCCTTGGCCAGTTCCTGGCTCTGAGAATCCCCGGAATCCTTCTCTGAGCCATGGAGACAGTGAACATAGAAATGCTCACCCCACACCCCACCTCCCTGGACTTCTCAGACTGCATTTAAAGTAAGTGGTGATAAAACAAGTGGTGAGAATGTTTGTGAAGGCTTTGAAAACTATCAAGTGGCTCTTTGGAGTCTAGTGATCATCCCAGGTAGCCACTCCAGCCCTCCCACAGACAGCAGAGTGCACATCTTAAAAGCACATTGGATCCCGGGTGGCGCTCTCCTGCTGCACTTAGAACAAAACCCCAGGCCCTTCTGTGGCCCCTTCAGCCATGCAGTACAGATTCATTTTCAGCGAAAGTGCCACACCCTCCTGTCCATTCCTCAAGAGCACCCAGCTCAGCCCACTCCCAGGGCCTTCTGCCCAAACTCTCCTGCCCACCTCTTCCTGCAGAAAGCCTTTCCAACCTCCCGATCTAAACCAGCCTCCTTGTTAGTCTGGTGACTAACCTTTTCACTGTCTGTCTTTCTCTGTAGACTCTGCCCATGAGGGCCAGGGCTCACCTAGTCTTTATTTCTATCTCTCCATATTAGCACAGTGCCTGGTGTGAATAGAACATAATAAATGTTTGTTGACTGAATGACTGAACTCCTGTCCCCTAGGTGCAGTGCTGAGATAATAAGTGTTACATTACTGACAGCTTATCATGTGCCAGGAACTCCTACAAATGCTCACAGGCATCATTTCACTTTGTCTGTATAAACCCAACAAGAGAGGTGCTACTATTACCCAGTCTTGAGGGGGTACTGAGGAAGATATGGAAAGAGGAGCGGTGATTCACTGGTGGTGTGCTCAGCAGCAGAGCTGGAACAGGATGGTGAAGAGGGCAGTCCCACTTCACCAGCCGCCCTCCCGAGCACTGTGCTATGCTGCCTGGCAACCCCCAAGTCTGGTGAGGTAGCTGCTGAGGGGTTCAAGCATCAGTGGCTGCCTGATGCTCAACATTAGCTCACTGAGGATCTTTTTCCATTCAGCCCAGGATTCCTCTGTCAGTTTCCTCCAATTTCCAAGCTGGAGGAAGGGGTGAGGCTGGGGTATCCCAACCTCTCCACTGAGCCAATTATCCATGCCAAGCTATAAACAGGGAAGCAAGGTCCTCAGATCATCCAGAGACTCACAAGCGAATGCAGCACGGGGCCATTTGCTTCTGAGAAGGCTCGGGTGCTTTGACATCTCTCTCCCCAGAGTGGTCACCAGTTTCTGCTCACATATTTCAGGGTCAGGGGCTCTCTAACTCTGTTGGTAGCTGGTCCATCTTAAAGTCTTATCTGTCCCAAAAGACTTCTTATACTAGGCCTGAAACTCTCTTCTCCTCTTCCTCCTGCACCCTGGTCCACACAAAACAAGCTCATTCCCTCAGAAGTCACAGAGCTAGCCTCCCCAGTCCCCACCCTCAACTCTTTATGGAGTAATGGTCTCATGTAACTGTTCCTGCTCCCCTCCCCATTCCAGCTTCTGGTTCTCCCCCAAAAACAAGAGAGATCAGCTCTTCTCCAATCTCCACACCAGGACTTCCAGACTGTCGAGGTGCAGGAAGTCAAAATGAACACGGGGGTTCCCTTGGCCTTCAATTCCCAGGTAGAGAAGCCCAAGAGGGCAGGCAAGCACAGCCTCTGACCAGAGCCCTGGAGGGACCAGAAGTGGAGGCAGGGGCAGGGAACTCCTAACTTGTAGCCACAGCTTAAGAGTATGGCTCACCCTCTATGCCCTTTCAGTTCCAATTTTACTGGACCCTCTGAACCACCCTGGGGAGGATGCGACTTGGCCCTCAGCTGAAAACACATCAAACAAGAATGAGGAAGACTCTTAGATCAGGGAATCTGGGTGCTGCTGAACAAGCTGCTGTCATCCCTATCCCCTTAGAGCCACAGGGGGTCTCTCCCAGATTCCTTAATGTCCTGAAGCCAGCTCAACTTTTCCCTCCCAAACCCCTGGCTGAGAAGCCAAACTGGGGGACTCTCCAGCTTTTTCCCTCAGGGTCACTCCCTGTTCTCTTAGTTCGGGTACACACTTCGTCACACAGGCCGTAATTCCACTCCAAAGCTCCACTTTCCTATCTGTCGCTGCCTCTCAAGCGCAGCTGGGCAAAGATGCCCGGGGTCCCTCCGCCCCACTCCTCCACCCACGGCGTGCACACCCCCCGCCCCCTCCCAACTTCAGAAAGTTTGGCCTGGGGCTCCCCACCTCGTAGCAGGCTCCAACCCAGCCCCGCTCCCCGCGCCTGACCTTCACCGCTCCCGCGGCAGGAGACCACCCCACCATGACCCACTCCTCCGCCCCAGCCCCCAGTCTGCCCGCGGCCCGGGCCTCTGGGTCACCCACCACGCTGAAGCACAGCCCGTCAGGCCCGCCTGGGAAAGGGGAGTCAGGAGCCGGACGTCTGGCTCCTGGAGGCCTCCAGCTGCCCACACGCACGCTGCCGGAGCCCCACTTGCAGGAGGGGGCCGCCCGCAGCCCGCTAGGACCCCGCGCGCCCCCGCGCCCGGCCTGCCCGCCCGCCTGGCCGCTGGAGCACCTCGCTTGGCTCGTCCTCCTCCAGGCCGCTGAAGCTCCACACTACCAGGCCCTGCAGCAGCAGGATGGCCAGCGCGGTGGCGATCGCCAGCTTGTAGCGCCGCACCAGCTTCTGCACCCGCGCGCTCGCCACCATCTTCCTGCCCGGGACGCGGGGCGCGCGCCCAGCCCTGCAACCCCGCCGCGGGCGCGCGCAAGGACGCGGGGCCGAGCCCTCCTGCTGGCCTAGGGAGGTGGGCCGGGCGCGAGCCTGGGCGGGGCCAAGGGCGGGGCCCGGAGGGCCGCGCCTCGCAGGCTGGGGCGGGGCCTGGGCCGCAGAGCCTCCCTCCCGGACGGCTGCGGGCTTGGGGCTGCGAGCTGGCTGTCGCCCCGCCTCCCACGCCGAGTCTGCATCCAGCGTGCCTTCCTCGGTGTGTGCCCCAGCCAGTGGTCACCTCTCCCTGGACAGCAGACCTATTGTACGGAGGGTCTGCGGCCCAACCGCTCGCCTGCCTGGTGTTGCGGGGCGTGGGGGAGCTCGGCTCTGCCGGCGGTAAGCTCTCCACCCCAGGGTCCCAGTAAATGCTACAGCTCCCAGAAGAGCCAGTTGGGAGTGGTGGTGTGAGTGCCACAAGGCCCCGCTTCAAACCTTCAGGCCGTAACCTAGGACAAAGTCTAACCCGTTGACTGGCTCCGGGCCCTTCAAGAAAACATCCTTTACTCTCTTCTCCCTTATCCTAAGCAGCTTCTGGCCTTTCTCCCCTACCTCATCCTAAGCACCCTGAACTGTTTTCCTCCTCTTTCATCCTAAGCATTTCGGATCTCTTCTGGAGTTCTGATTCTCAGATCTTAGCTTGCATCAGAGTCACCTGTAGGACTTGATAAAACAGATACTATCACTGGTCCTCACCCCCGGATTTTCTGCTTTGATAAATCACGGATGGAGCCTGAGAATTAGAATTTTCAACAGGTTCCAGGCGATGCTGATGTGGCAGGTCTGGGACCACACTTGGAGAACCACTAGACCTTGGCATATGCTGTTCTCTCTGCCAAGTCCTACCAGCTGTTCCCCCGCCCCAGTCAATGGCATCTTTGCTTGTGCTCACTGTCCAGTGGAGCACTATCACATCTGGTCGCCTTTTCTCTGGGATCATTCCTTATTCATCTTCGAATCCTTACCACCACATAGGACACCCAGCAACGCTCAAGAAATGCTGGGATCCGGGAGTGATGAGATCCCAACTATTGAGGCAGGAGGATCAACAGTCTGCCTCAGTGAGAATTTAAATTACAAAAAGGGCTGGGATGTAGCTCAGTGGTACAGCACCCCCTGCGTTCAATTCTGTACTGAGAGGGAAAAAAAAGTTGGGGAAAAAAGCAGAGGAACCCTAGCTACCTAGCTGACCTCAACATTTCTCCGGAGTCTGTTCAAACATGGCATTGGCAGGGACTGAACATATACAGTCTCTCCTGAGCCTGGCAGGATGGCGGAGAGAGGGAAGAGGGGGAGAGGTAAAACAGTGTCCCCCAAAGTAAGGTGAATAGAGATGGCAAAACCAAGAAGGAAAATATAAAATGAAGCTTTAAGAACCACTACAGAGGGCTGGGGATGTGGCTCAGGCGGTAGCACTGCCTGGCATGCGTTCGGTGGGGTTCGATCCTCAGCACCACATACCAACAAAGATGTTGTGTCCGCCGAGAACTAGAAATAAATATTTAAAAAAATTTTTTTTCTCTCCTCTCACTCTCAAAAAAAAAAAAAAAACCCAAAAAAGGGGGGAAAAAAGAAAAAAAAAAAAAAAAAAAAGAAAGAAAGAAAGAAAGAAAGAAAAATTCAAGTCTAAAAAGTTTGAAGTTAATGGTAGCGCTGTTAGGAAGGTGCCAGGAGATACCTTGGAGAAAGAATTCTAAACTGGGATGAGCACAGGACAGGCAGTCATTTGAGGCACTTCAATAAGGCTTTCTCTAATCCTCTCCTGCTTTGACATTGGAATTCGGTCCATTCTTCAGCGTTAGTTAAATGGAAGAATTATAAACAATGTTTCAGATGACAGTTTGGCTACTTAAGAGAACCTCCACTTCAAGGATTTGGGAAAACATCAGTTGACATGCCAACAATTGATATGTTAATTAAGTATCGATCTTCCTTGCTCATTAAATCAGGCCCCCTAAGGACTTCTACCTGCCAGTACTCCCCCCCCCACCCATGGAAATAGCTTTCTTTCCCTCTGATTTTATAAATACTATATACTCACATAACATTTAAACAAAAACAAAAATAAAAAAGGAAAAAAGTTAAAGTTACTTGAAGTCCACCCGCAAGATAATTATCATTAACATAATGGGGACTATCCTCTCTCCATTTTTTTATGTGTACATAATTTGGGTGGGGGTACCAGGAATTGAACTCCGGGGCACTTGACCTCTGAGCCACATCTGCAGCCCTGTTTTGTATTTTACCTTGTTTTTACGTTTGTTTTCTTTTCTTTTTTTTTTATTGACGGGTTCTTACTGAGTTGCTTAGGGCCTTGCTTTTGCTGAGGCTAGCTTTGAACTTGCAATCCTTTTGCTGAGGCTGGCTTTGAACTTGCAATCCTCCTGTCTTAGCCTCCTGAGCTGCTGGGATTACAGGCCTGAGCCAGGACACCCGGCTTGTACATAATTTTGAATGGCTGGGATCTCATCATTCATGGTGTTTAGTTCAGAGCACTCTACCACTGAGCTACATTCCCAGCCCTTTTTATTGATTAATTAATTAATATTTATTTTGAGACAAGATCTTGGCTAAATTGCTGAAGCTGGCCTCAAATTTGCAATCCTTCTGTCTTAGCCTCCCTCCCGAGTAGCTGGGTTTATATGTGTAGGCCACCATGCCCAAGTGACTTGTGCCTGGTTAACTCATTCTTTTTAATGACTGCATAATATTCTATTCCTTCCTTGAATTGGCATTCACTAGGTTTCCAGGCTCTTGCCACAAAACTGCAATAAATATACTTCTAGGCTTAAGCCTATGACTGAGGCTTTTATTTCTATGGCAGAATTTCCCAGGAATACTGTTACTGGGGAAAAGGAAATTTTAAATTTTAACAGATATTGCCAAATTTGTTCCTGAAAAATTTGTTCCTGTGGAGAGTCACATTTCCAGCAACAATGAGGATATGAGGGTATTGTTTTCTTGCATCCTTCCAGCAGCAGGTGTTACTCTGTTTTTAATTTTTGCTAATCTGATAGGTGAGAAGTGACCTCATTTTTTTTTTAATTTGCACTTCTCTGCTGGGCGCTGGCCATTAAATTGCTTTATGTACTGTTTGCATTTGCTGTTTTTCTAGTTATGCCTCTTCATGTTCTCCCCAAATTAAATTTATTGCTATTTATTGTTTGTCTTTTTCTTATGAATTTTTAGAGTTTTTGTCCACTTAACATGTAAAGTTACCCTCAATTTACCATTGCACTTTGGCTTTTTAAGGACAATTTAAAGCTTTTTTTTTTTTTTTTGTAATCAAATATATTTCTAGCTGGGCACAGCAAACACCAATTTTAGTATTTGAAAATACCAAAATCCCAGCTACTGAGGTAGGACGATTGCAAGTTCAAGGACAGCCTGGGCAACTTAGCTGAGATCCTGTCTCAAAGTAAAAAATAAAAAGGGCTGGGGATGTAGCTCGGTGGCAGAGCATCCCTGGATTCAAATTCTCAGTATTGGGGGTGGGGAGAAGGTTCTTCTTTTCTTTTAGGGCTTCTCATTTTCCACTTTGGTTTACTAGATCTCTTTAGTCTTTGATGATGCTTATGGTCTTATATGTTCTCCTACTATTTTTCTTTCTTTCTTTTAATTTTTTTTTTTGCATTTAAGTCTTTAATCTGGATTTTTAAAAAAATATGATACAAAATAGGTGTGCCAGGGACTTTTTTAGCATATGCACTTCAATAAAACATCAGTCTCTACTTAGGGTGGTTTTTTTGAGGTGGGGTACTGGGAAGTGAATCCAAGGGTGGTCTACCACTGAGCTACATCCTCAGTCCCTTTCATTTTTTATTTTGAGACAGGGTCTCTCTTGCTAAATTGCCCAGGTTAGCCTTAAACTTGGCCTCAATGGCTGGAATTCCAGGTGTGAGCCACGGCACCTGGTTATCTGTCTAGATTTTACTATTTGTAAAACAAATTCGTTATTGAGATATAGCCTTCATAGATTGATCTAGATTGGACTGTATAAAATGAAAGGTTGATTGTCCCCTCGGTCCCCTTTTCTCTTTAGTTCTCCCAATAAATTTCACTGTGCTTTATTCTTTTATGGTGGAAAGTCTTGAAAATACCAAAAGGTTTCTGGGAACAGCAGAATGGGAAGGCATCCTGGAGTCGTAAGCAGGTTGCTGGTGTGAGGTCCCCTTTCCCATGTGAGGGAGTTGTCCCTGCTGTCCTCGTTGGCAGAGCTATTTGAGGAGGTGTGGGTGCTGAATGTTTTCCACGGTCAGAATTTAAACTTGGCTCAGCACCAGGGGGCACAGGGGCCCCCTGCAGGAAAGGCTCCAGGCTCTGTCTTTCTGCTCATCTGTCCAGTTCCCTTGGGTTGACACATCACGAGGCTGTCCACAGCCCCGAGACTGGCTTCACCCTAGGATGAAGTTCACCTAGTTCCCTTTTGGTCACATTCTGCCAGCTCACCCAGAACCCATCTCTGGTTCTATGGATCCCTGCTTGTCAGAAAGTTCTGACATCTCTCGAAAGCATCATATGGGTTGTTCCAATGTGACCTCTTGAGAGGGTGAATTATTTAAAAAATATTTTCCACATATTAGAATGACTTTTGCATCTTTATAGTAAAATATGATTTACTCACAGTAGATTTTAAAATTTTATTTATTTATTTGGTTCTGGAATTGAACCCAGGGCCTAGTGCATGCTGAGTAGTGCCCTACCACTGAATTATACCCCACTCCTGATTCTTGTGATGGTATTGGATTTACTGGTATTTTACTTAGTTTTTTTTTTTTAAATTCCTAAATATTTATTTTTTAGTTCTCAGCGGACACAACATCTTTGTTGGCATGTGGTGCTGAGGATCGAACCCGGGCCGCACGCATGCCAGGCGAGCGCGCTACCGCTTGAGCCACATCCCCAGCCCCTTTACTTAGTTTTTTTACATCTATGTTTATAAAGGAGATATACCAGAGAATGCAGACTGGTGACTTGGGACTGATAATATTTGGCAGGGTTTGGGAGGATTTGATTCCGAGTTCCTGAGTAAGGGGTACATAGTCTCCGTTGTCTGCAGCTCCCGCCTCCTTGGCATTGCACACCCAATCACCTGTACCCATTTGTGTCACTCTGGTCCTTACAAACACTTGACTTTGCAACCCCTACTATATGGTTTTCTTTGCTCATTTAAAAAGAATCTGTGGTAGATTTGGGTACCCAAGCGGCACTCGTTCACCACACAAGTGGAAGAGCATTCCTTCTTTATTCTTTTTCTTTTTCCTTTTTTAGTGCTGAGCCCACGGCCTCGCGCATGCTAACTACACGTTCCCACGAAGCTGTGTGGCCAGCCCCTGTTTTTGAAACAGACACTGCTGTTCCTCAAGCATTTGAAAAGGCTTGTCAGCAAAAGCATCTACCCCAGGAGCTCCTTGGGGAGCTCATTCTCTTGTAATTTCTATTTCTTTTTTCCTCTCCTGGTTATTGGCCTATTCGGAATTTTGTGTTTCTGTTTTGGCTCAACAGTGTTAATTTATGAATGTTTTTCTGGAGAAAAAAATTTAAACGCTCCATCTCTCTTATTTTTCCTCTGCAGTTATTTCACTTGTAATGTGTGCCAACAGTATGAATTGTCCCCAGAAATGAAAGGGTCACATCTCTTTCATCTTTCCATTTAGGCCAGCTGAGAATCCACGTGTGTCAGCTTTCTTTTTGGTCCTCTGAGTCGCCTGTCTGCCTGCCTCTGTTTCTCCGAGTTGTCTAAACTGCCTGTGACAGGCACATATAAGGGGTGTAAACAGAAGAGCTCTGGGATGGAGTGTTCTCAGCAAGTCCCCTTCCTGTCTCATAGGGCCATGGCAGGAAGCTGGTCCTTAATTAGAAGCTACCAGGATGGGCTTTCACTGGTCTGGCCCACAGCTCTGAGCAGCCCACTAACCCCAGACAAGATGCCCATGCCTTGGACTCCCAGGGTTGCCGTCTGTGCCTGGGTCCTCACTCCTAGACTCTGGCAGCTAGCATGTTCCCACTGGGAGAAGCAGACACTCCCTCACCCTGCGATTTAAACATTAATAAGAAGGAGGTCACACGTGTATGCTTTGACACACCCTCCAAATACCTAACAAATACCTAACAAATAGGCATTCATAGGACAAAGACAAGTTACAAACCTGGATAAACATCTCAGGGACAAGAGAGAGAACTGGTAAAGCAAAGTATGGAGAAGAGCCAAAGCCGAGGGCCTGTGGGGGAAGGGGGGCTGAAACATTTTCAGAGAATGGAGGACAGAACCAGACTCTGCCCAGCCAAGGACTGGAGCCAGGCCACCACACTTTTGAAAGGAGCCTGGGAAAAAAAGAACAAAAAGAAAAGCAGCTGAGCAGATCTCAGGGGCTGTGGCCAAAACAAAAGCATATGGGCCCAGGGAAGCTGGAGAGCAGGGTCAAGCCGTCCTCTAACTCTGTGACTGAATCTGCACGTCCTCCAGTGTGAGGGAAGAGCACCAATTCCAAGGCCCTCAGAAGACAAGTTCTGGACCAGGATACACTGGATGCAGCCTCCAAACTAAATCCCCCAGATGTAAAAGGGGAGAGAGAGAGAGAGAGAGAGAGAGAGAGAGAGAGAGAGAGAGAGAGAGAGAGAAAACCCACAAAGAAAAACAAAAACTCCCAGCCATAATGAGCCTATAAACCAAAATTCCAAAGCACTTCAAGAAACCAAATGCTAAAAATAGCCGCCAACCAATTCAACAACTGAAATATGAGCTCACTCTCGTCATTTTTGGATTCATAGGGTAAAAAACATACCCAGAGATAAATGAAGAAATCATTTTACAAAGAGGAAAATTTTCAAAATTTAATTTGATTTTTTTTTTTTGGGTAGTACTGGAGATTGAATTCAGTGGTGCTCTACCACCCAGCTACATCCCCATTCCTTTCTAATTTTTTTTTCTTGAGACAGGTCTGATTAAGTTGCTGAGAATGGCCTTGAGCTTGTGATCTTCCTTCCTCAGTCTTCTGAGCCTGGGTGGCATTACAGACATGAGCCACTGCACCTGGCTAAGAGATTGTGAAACAAATGCAGATTAAAAATAAGATAAGAATATAGACATGAAAATAAAATCATGAATCTCAGAAATTAAATATAATCATTAAAAAGAAAAAAAAACCTAAAAGGCCAGGCAGGCATGGTGGTGCACCCCTGTAATCCCAGCAGTTTGGGAGTCTGAGGCAGAAGGATCAAGATTTCATAGCCAGCCTCAGCAAAAGCAAGGTGCTAAGCAACTCAGTGAACCCTAAATAAAATACCAAACAGGACTGGGGATGTGACTCAGTGGTCGAGTGTCCTTGAGTTCAATCCCTGGTACCCACCAAAAATAATTTTTTAAAAAAAATCTAAAAGATGGAATGAATTTTATACTGGAAATAGTTGAAGATAAAATTAGTGAACTGGAAAATAATTCTAAATAGATCTACATGGTATCTCTGCAGAGAGATAAAGAGAAGTAAGAGAACATTTTCAAGAGTAGGAGAATAAATTAAAATACTCCAATATATTTCATAATTTTTTCAGAAGAAGAAAATGGCAGGGAAATAATATTGAAGACATGATAGTGGAAAATATTCTAGAATTGAAGGGAAATATTAGTAACATACAATTGGTTTTTTTAAACCCAGTCTGATGCTCTGTATTTTATTAAGTGTGTTTAATTAATTTACTTTTATTGATTTCGAAGATGTATTCAAACTTTCTTTTTTAAAAAACTATAATTCTATATTTTCTCAAATGGGTCTGTGGGAGACAGGCTTTGAAATACCAAGAGGTAGAGTGCCCCCTGGCTTCTGCAGAAGGATGTGCATGGCTTATTTGAACTTCAGCAGGCTACAGGCTAGCAGGGAACTGAAACTGGTTCAGGAATAAGCAGGAACTGCACCTGTTTTCCTTAGTAAGGAGGTGGTTTGCTAGTGGACCTTTCCTGAGAGGGTAGATTGGGGAGGAGGATTTAGGGTTAGGCCCTCTGAGGCCCTCTGAGTTTCCCATAGGTCAAGGCAGCATTTCACATTGGACTTGAGTTTTAAGCCTCCCACACATTGTGCTGTTTTCTTTTTAGTGCTAAATAGACTGGTTTTTGCTATAATCTTCCTCAACATTTTAGAAGACAAATTGCCAGACACAGTGGCCCATATCTCTAATCCCAGCAATTAAGAGGATCACAAGTTTGAGGCCAGCCTCAACAATTTAGCAAGGCCCTAAGAAACTCAGTGAGACTCTGCCTCAAAATAAAAAATAAAAAAGGGCTGGAGATAAAGCTCAGTGTTAAAGTGTTCCTGGGTTTAATCCCCAACACCAAATAACAATACTAACAACGACAGTAATTTAGAAGGCAAGAATTAGAATTCTTTTTTCTAATTCTACAGTGTTTATCTTAAGGCTTTTCAGATATTTGTGATATGAAATTCAGTGATCACAGACCATATAGAACTATAATTTAATTTAATAGGTATAAACCTGCTGTGGAAAATTTTTCCCCATTCTCTCTCTCTCTCTCTCTCTCTCTCTCTCTCTCTCTCTCTCTCTCGTATCAGGGATTAAAAGGGGCCACTTTACTACTGAGTCACATCCCCAGTCCTTTTTTATTTTTTATTTTGACAGAGTCCCAATAAGTTGCTTAGGTCCTTGCTAAGTTGCTAAGGTTAGCCTTGAGCTTCTGATCATCCTGCCTCAGCCTCTCCTGCCACTGGGATTACAGTCATGCTCCACTGTACCTGGCTCATTCCTGCTTTTTCAAATTTCATTTGGGACTATAAACTTCATTGTTTTTCTTTATAACATAGCTAACCTCTTTTAAATGAACAGATACTATTTTGGATCATCAATTCTGAAACAATTTTAAGAATACAATTTTTTAGAGTGATACATGTATAGTAATGTATTTAATACCCTTTACCAAGTAAGTTTAAAAATTGGATTAAAAATTGTATATATAAGATCCGGGAGCGGTGGCACATGCCTGTCATCCCAGTGACTCTGGAGGCTGAGGAAGGAAGATCACGAGTTCAAAGCCAGCCTCAGCAAAAGCGAGGTGCTAAGCAACTCAGTGAGATCCTGTCTCTAAATAATTCTGATTCTCCCGCCCTCCATGTCCTAGCACACATCCTCAATGATGGATTTCCAAGAGTGAGGAAAAATAGGGCTGGGGATGTGGCTCAGTGGTCGAGTGCCTGAGTTCAATCCCCAGTACCAAAAAAAAAAAAAAAAAAAAAAAAAAATTATATATATAGGGCAACAATTCAGTTCAAAATGTTTCAGAATAGCAAGTGATCTCCCCTAACTTTCCCTCTGCTCCTCCACTTAGAATAACCTGCCTTGACCGTTTACTTTGTTCCTTCCACATTTTTCTCTCTGCTCATGTAAATATGTAAATCCTTTAATAAGGCCCCTGCCTAGGTTTTAAAGGAACAGGATCATGTAGAAATTCTCCAGTTTATGGCTGGTTGTGCATGCTTGTAATCCCAGAGGCTCTGGAGGCCTAGGCAAGAGGATTATAGGTTCAAAGCCAATTTCAGCAACTTAGCGAGGTCCTAAGCAAGTCAGTGAGACCTTATCTCTAAATAAAATATAAAAGGGGGCTGGGGAGGGCTGAGGTTGCAGCTCAGTGATAGAGTGCTTGTCCAGCATGTGTGAGGCACTGGGTTCGATTCTCAGCACCACATATAAATGAATAAATAAAAAATAAAGGTCCATCATCAACTAAAAAAAATATTTAAAAAAAAAGGACTGGGGATGTGGCCCTATGTTCAATTCCTGGTACAAAAAAAAAAAAAAAAAAAAAGAAAAGAAAAGAAAAGAAATTCTCCAGCTACGTACATTTTTTATCACCATTTTATCAGGGACGTCCCTCTAAGTTAATACATACATAGATGATATCCTAAAAATATAGCTAGATGATATTTATTACTTTAGTATGTAGCTACACTATGATTTATTAAAACATGAACCTGTTTATTGTACATTTATGTCATTGCTAGACTTTGTTAGTATTGCACATTTATATCACTGCACTTATTACTGTAAGAGGCATTGTAGTTTGTATAGCCTGAACTACTGGTGTCTTTTTTTTTTTTTTTTTTCTGGTATGATGGATTTCCAAGAGTGAGACAGGTATGTACATTTCAATTTTCAAAGATATTCCCAGAAGATTACAAAAAAGTGCTAGCAATTTACATTCTTTAGAGACTACATGAAGACTTTCCTGCTATTAAACCTCTAAGCAGGTACTTCAAGTTGGATTTTTTCTTGTTCTTGAGTTTCCGTGCCTGATTCTCCCGCCCCCCACGTCCTAGCACACATCCTCAAGTGATTTATTCAAGAAGAGTCCTCAGAGGGATTAATTTTTAAATAACTTTGATACCTGGAGTTTTCTGGTTGCCTCCATATGTGAATGACAATATGGTTTTTCCTTAGGTTTTTCTAGATTGGTGTATTTTATAGCCCACCCAATTTAATGGATTGTGACTGCATTTTAAAGACATCGAGTGGCATAGATAAGAATAGAAAATAAAGTACATTGGATACAGTAAGGATAATGACTATTTTATGAATGCCTAAAGCTCCAAGTTAGAGGGAGGTTTAATTTTCTTTTTATATCTTTTATTCCGTTTAAGAAAAAATATAAATATGTTACAAAGTAAAATGTATTTCTAATGATGAGATAAAAATAAATTGATTCTTCTTTGGATGTTGCAAAAATTCTGGGATCATTTTAATTTAGGATTTTTGTTATTTTTTTTTCCCATTAATCTGTGAGATCCTTATTTATTATTCCTCCCCCTGATTTAGACTGTTTTTAAAATGACGAAAGAAATATTTATAAATGATATTTTAAAAAGAGAGAGAGGAAAGCTGAGTGTGGTGGCACATGCCTGTAATCCCAGCATCTCGGGAGGCTGAGGCAGGAAGATTCAAAGCCAGTCTCAGCAATATAGCAAGGCCCTAAGCAAGTCAGTGAGACCCTCTTTCTAAATAAAATATAAAAATGTCGAGCTGGTGATGAGGCTCAGTGGTTGAGCTTCCTCGACTCAATACCTTATATCAAAACAAACACCCAAGCTGGGCATAGTGGCACACAAGTCAAAACCCCATGTACTAGGGAAGATGAAGGAGAAGCATTGTAAATTCAAGGTCAGCCTGGGCAATTCTGTTTCAAAAAATTTTAAAAGGCTGCTGGTATAGCTTGGTTGTAGAGCACTTGCCTGGCATGTGTAAAGCCCTGGGTTCGGTCCTCGGCACCACACACCCAAACACACACTCAAAGAACAAAAGATACAAAGAGGTAAAAAACTCTCTTTCTACCTCAATTTCCCCTTCCAAAGGGTTGTGTGTGTGTGTGTGTGCGTTTTCCAAATTTTTCTTAACTTTTTTTTTTTTTTTTGCAGTGCTAGGAATCAAGCCTAGGGCCTTCCACATGCCAGCAAACATTCTACTTACAACTGAGCTCCAACCCAGCCCTTTCTTAACTTTTTTTTTTTTTTTTTTTGTACTAGGGATTGAACTCAGGGGCACTCAACCACTGAGCCACATCCCAGCCCTATTTTGTATTTTATTTAGAGACAGGGTCTCACTAA